AAAGTGGTTAAAGTTGTGTCTCTGATGCGCGGGAGACAAAATGAAGATGAATGATGTGGTAATGTGCTAAGGAGGCAATGACGCATCGTGAGAAAGACTATTGTAGATCTGTGAACAATGCATCACGGAGGAGAGAGAAAATAATGAAAGCACCATGAGAATTAATGGAAAATGAAAATTGAGGTGTGTGCTTGGAAGATGGCTAGAGGAGGATCCCTAGTACTCTCTAGCCTGACTTTCAAGGAGAATTAATTCTAGGTTTCAGAAATCTAATTTGCATTTATCTCGAAAAGTGAAAATACAATAGTGGAGCTGAGTATTTATAGTAACACATGCTCCTTGCAAGCTAAGAAACGTATATAATAAAATGTAAATATACAAAATAGAGTACACTAAGGAAGGTTTTTTAGTCAGTATTCCATCAAAAAATCATCGCAAATTGCACGAACGTTGCAAACCATCACCGTAAACAAGATTATTATTTGGATTTTTTTCATTTTGGTTTTGGAACGAAGGAAGACACAAAATAAAAGTGAAAAGCAAAGAAACAAGAAGAAGAAGAGGTGAGGAATAAAGTGAACCAGATCGCGATATTTACCGATGAAATTTACTAAGATTTTTTTTGTAATTTTCGACCAATTTTTCCTTTAGTAACTATCAACGAGTATAAAATTTCATCAATAAATATTACCGACTACATTATTATCAACAGATTTTGACCTGTCGGTAATCCATCGTAAAAAAGTCATTATTGACAATGTAATTTGATTAAATTAATGCCTTATATACATTGGTATTCTTGGGTCACTTATTTAATCATTAACTATATGAATCTCCTCCAATCAATACATTTTTAGCATGTAATTTGATTAAATCAACGCCTCATATTTTGCTTTGTTATTCGAACAATTGGGTCAAATTTCATACAATAGTCTAGTACGAATGTTATTTTGCAAAGTTATTAGTACTCCTCCACTAGTTCCATTCACAATACTTAACTCATTGAAATATAGTACACATTGATCATATTTGACTTAAAATACTTCTTTAATACAAGAATGATTAGCCATAAAATCAATTATGGTTTGACCTTTAATCACTTTTAAACTTTCAAATTGAAGTGAAAATTTAGTCTCATCCATTTTCCCACACAGTTATGTATTGTAGGCTTAGATAACAAAAAGTTCAATATATTGTTCTTTGAGAATACTATTACTTCATGAGGCCTTAAATAATGTTTTAGCTTACAACAAGAATAATACAAGCATAAACGTAAAATTTGTTAATATCACTATATCGAGTTTTAACATCTCTTAAACTCAAGTAGTACACGACACATTCTACTCCATTTGTATCTTCTTGAGCCACATGCTTGCTATTGGTTCTTTCCAAGCTGATACATATAACTATAAAGAAGAGAGAAAATTGCATAGATCATTTTATATTGGTTTAGATCACAAGGATCCTGTCTAATTGTTAATCTCAAATGAGAATTAGCAATTCACTATCACAAAACCAACAAACCGTTACAATCACAAAGAAATAAACAAGTTTAAGGTTTATAACACTTCTCTTGTTACCCCCAAGAGATGAAACTCACTTCCCTTGAAAGCCACAAGGGATGAACACCTCTTTCGAATGTTTTGCGAAGGATGACCTCCTCCTTTGAATCTTCACAAAGGATGACAAACTTTAACTCAACAACAACAACAATAACACTAAATCACAACTGTGAAAGTTCTTGCTCTATGCCAACACCAAGTTCTCAAAGCCACAACACAAGGGTTACACAAACCCTAGAACACACTTGTCACAATACACAGCAAAATAGATAAGATTTTTGAAATTCACGTATTTCGTATTTTAGAAAGAAAGTCCCAATCCAATATATAGAGATCTCACTCAAGGATACACCTCAAAATAGCTCACAACACTTATATTTCAAGCCCTAATAAGTCTAATAACAGATATGTAACTGCCCAAAATAGTTTACACTTAATGTTTCAAAATCTCCCTACTCAAAACCCTCTTTTTACACAAAAACACTTCAAAACTTCAACTATGAACCACCTTTTTGCTACATGACAGATTTTCACTCACAAAACACTTTTAACAAGTCTCAAATTACCTCATGATAGCTTCTAGATAGTTGCTTTCTCATCTCAACCTCTCTTTCTCAAACTCACCCATCAAAACCTCCCTTTTTAACCTTAAAACTCAAGAATTTGACCACCACTCATCCTAAACACTTGAATCCAGTTTCAAACACTAAAACAACTTTATCACACACAATCATGACATCATTAATCATCAAAATCACGCAATTTCAAATGTACACACATCACACTATCATTTATCATCATTTAAACATACACATTACTCAAACTATTATTACCATTACATCTAATTTATTTTATCATAAATAGAGATACTAAATTCAAACCACAAATACAATTCTAAGGCAAGTTCTAGCTTCCCTTACCTTACACCGACGATACAAAGTTCTAAGAACACCCTGATTACTTCTCGCACAAAGAATTTTTAGAAACACCTACAAATCACCAAATTGAAAAAGAAACGAGTCTTTAGGATCTTAGATTGACAAGGAAACTCAGAGAAAAGGCCAAAGTACACATGCAAATGGAAGCTTCCATGCATGAACTCAATAAAAGAGCGAAGAGAAAAAAATGAGCTGAAACTTACTTGTTCTATTATAGAAACCAATCGGATAATAATGTAGACCTCGTTGCCGTAGTCGATTAGATACCTCTTTATTGTCAAAGAGATGACTTAAGAGTTAGAACTCTTACAAAGAAGGTAGAAAACTTTAGAAAATATGTTTTTTAGAGAAATGATACGTTTTAAAATAATAAAACTCGTTTATAACAAAATTATTTACAAATAAATCATTTAATATTAAAATAACCAAGTCTCACTATATTTAAACTAGTATCACTTCTAAAATATCATTTTCTAGAGTTTTATATTAATTAACAATTTAACATTGAAATAATTTATTTAAATAGTTTAAATATATTATTTGGCTATACTTAAGAAAAATATTTGACTGCATATTTGTATTAATGATATTATAAAATTTAACATATAATATATAATTATGTAAAACAATATTATTAAATAATGCTACATTCAATTACTAATTTTTTTTTAAGATAATACGTGCTCAAATCAGTGAACACAGCTTTCTGAAAGAAATTAACTGAGAAATTGATTATTGAAGTTATTGATATAAATATTTTAAAGGCAATTTTTAGGACAAAGCAGTATTAAACGCTATCATAAAAACTTAACTACTTATCAATATTAAAGAGAATTAAATGTTACACTCAACTTTCTTTTCAAAGTAATAAAATCTATTCAAAATTTTATTATAGTAAATGGAATGTAATTACACCACTTACATGATGATAAATTGTATTCTGTAATAAGATGTAAGAAATCCTAAATATAAAAGGAAAAACATTGTTTAATGGGAATAAATATGAATATAAGTATTTATTCATAAATTTTAACAGAAATTGGTTGAAAACGGATATGATAATATTCATCTCATCTCATACTCTATAATTTATATAAATATAATTATTTAAATTAAAATATTCTCAGATATAAGTAAACTATTTAAGCACAATATATTTGAAGAATGATTTAAATACATTACTAATGCTACTTTAGTTAACTTAAAAGGTAGTCTTCGAGTAATATATTTGTTAAGATACCAATAAATATTCGTAATTCAATTTGAATCACATGTTTTAATACGATGATTAAATTTATACGTAGTTTTAATTATTATTATTATATTACTATTTATGCTTGTTCGTTAGACATATTTAAAAGTAAATATTAATTGTATATATTGATATCATTTTAAAATTATTCTATATATTAATAATCAAATATTTATATTCATTTTAATCTTCTCATACATTAAACAACATTTAATTTTATATTATAAATTAAAAAAGTCAAAATTTTAAGTTCACACTTTTCCCATTTTCTCAAATAAATATATCAAAATTCTCTTTTTGACCAAGTAACTTATGAAAGATTTTCTCATTAAATCTCAAATAAAATAAATGTTTATACTGAATTATACACAACAATAAAATAGTATTATTATCGTATTAAATATTTTTTAGTCGTTAAAGAAGATTAAAACTATCAGAAAAAACATCGGTCCATGACATTTGATTCAATGCTTTAAATTTAAATAACCAAGATATTGTGTTCACATTTTTGTGAATTGAAAAGGAAAAAAATAAAATAAAGATGAATAATGAAGTGGGAAAAGTTAGTGATAATGAAAATTGATTCATTGTATTGGTTTGAAAAAATGAGATTAATTTGGAATAATTTAACTCCTTGACCTAATTGAAGGTTTTGTAACAGCTAGGTGTTAACAGCTGTGAAACTGAAACGTCCCCATAATTAGGACTGTGAGGGAAAGAGATAGACATAGAAGTGTCTCTTTCTATTGAGAAGTGGTCAGCGCTGTTGTCTGGTCACTCAAGAGTTCCAATAAGTGCATGCTTAGATGCAACCCTCTCCCTGTTTCTTATCCTCCCTTACGAGAGAGTAAGAGGTTAAAAATAAGGTATTTGGAAATAAAATTTGATGGAGACATGAGTATTTATTATCGATCGGAATATTTTAATATTTATTTGTAATTTTCATTACTTATAAATTTAATTAAAATTAAAATTAAATTTTAATTTAATTTATATTATATATTTTTTAATTTTTTTAAAAATATTTATAAATACATTTTTTTTCAACTTTTTGTAAATATTCTCCAATATTCATAGATATATTTTTTAATTAAGTATTACACACCTATGAAGTTCTTTAATACAGGTCAAATAATATGTAAAACACTGTTCCGTGTTCAATTCAATCCGTTTTCATATTTATTATGCATCATTATATATATATATATATATATATATATATATCAAACTTCCAATTTCACATTTGAAAACTATTATATTATATTCCCTCTAAACCAAACTGCAAACTCAACAGGCATTTAGAGAAGGAAACGGAAAACTTGAATCCAAAATCACCACTCACTCACTGGAGAAGTTTTGCTTATCTGCTCTCTCTTTCTTTCTCTCTTATTCCAAAAATCTGTTCACTCTGACGACAACACTTAAACCTGTTATCTAAATTGGTTGGTGTTGGTGTTTTTTTTTTTATTATGTTTGTTTGTTATTGTTTTGTCTGCATTTGAGCACATACTTGAAAAGAGAAAACACAGCATAGGCGTTGTACCAAACTCTCTCCTTTGCCAAAATTAGTTTTTTATCCTAAGGACTAGCTTGAACTAGGGGAGGGTGTTGATTCATGAGGGTGGCATTCATTTTCCTTTGATATCTCAGCAAAAATTGAAAATTTAAAGGTTGGTCTTTTCCGAGACATTCCTTGATGGATCTGGAGTCTGTGATCTACAAAAACTCTTTTAAGGTATGGCATGTTAGAGTTTCCTGATCAGTATTATGTGTGAAAGAAAAGGAAAAAAAAAACTTGTTTTTGACGTACCACTCATGACACCTTGCAGGATGGATCATGGAAGACAGTGTTAACATTGGCTTATCAGAGCTTAGGAGTTGTGTATGGCGATTTAAGTACATCCCCACTTTATGTTTACAAAAGCACTTTTGCTGAGGACATTCAGCATTCAGAGACCAATGAAGAGATATATGGAGTGTTGTCTTTTGTGTTCTGGACTCTCACACTGGTTCCACTCCTCAAGTATGTCTTCATTGTGCTCAGAGCAGATGACAATGGAGAAGGAGGGACTTTTGCTCTGTACTCTCTTCTATGCAGGCATGCTCAGGTGGGGTTGTTGCCTAATGTTCAGCTTGCAGACGAAGAACTAACTGAGTACACCAAGGATGGAACAGTGCCAATTGATAAGAAGAATGTTGGGTTGGGGTTGAAATCGGTGTTCGAGAAACACAAGGTTCTGCAGAGGGTGCTGCTTGTTCTGGCTCTGATAGGGACTTGCATGGTTATTGGGGATGGTGTGCTTACACCTGCTATTTCTGGTACTGGGATTTCCAACGTTATCTGTGTTTTCGTCATGGCCAAGGTTTTAAACTGCTCTCGTGGTTTCTTCGCAATCTTTCACAGAGCTGGAAATTGTGGACAAATGCAATCCGCAATTCGGCAGATCCGAGAAACCATGTTGCAGCTAAAATCATGGTTTTGGACAGAGATGGTGGTTCTTGATGACTGAATTATCTGGTTTTTTGTTATTATGCAGTTTTCTCTGCCGTGTCAGGGTTGGAGCTTTCTATGTCTAAAGAACAGCATAGGTGTAAGTTCCTTTCTAAATACAAGTAATTGGTTGATTTAATCTCCTTTTAGTATGTTTTGTTCGAGATCAATTTTAAGTCTAGTTTGCGTCTAGCCTCTAATGAACACGAAAGAGCAGTAAGCAACATGTCATGAATTTAATTGAAAAAATATATTTTAATCTTAATAAGCTGCAAGATGGTTTGAAGTTTCGTTTCATATACTGTATATTACAGTTGGATACACGTACATAACTATGCTAATGGAATTGGATTAATGGATTAAGAATTCAATTTTGATTAGTAAATTGCAAAATGCTTGGCATCTGGAACTATTCTCTGGAATATTTTCTAAAGAATTGTGTACATTTAGAATAGTTCTAATGGTTGCATCATACAATACTGCTATTGATTTGGGGGAAGTTGCTCTCTGAATGGCATATATGCTGAATAGATATTGATCCTGAAATTATTGTTGTTAGCTATCACAATATATTTTTGTTTAATTTTTTCTATACAACCTATTTGAAATTCTAAATGACTTCCCTTTTTATGCTAACTATATCAAAGCGTTCGAGTTAGTGGACAAAAAGGGAGAACCAAATGCCTCCAAGTGCATGCATTATTGTGGGTCCCCATAAATATGTAATCAGGGCCAACTTCCTTGTTTTGATCGAAGTCAAATCAATGTCATGCTAAAATTTATATTAAAATAAACAATCCCTGCTAAATTGATAATATTGAATATATGATAAAGTTTGTGGGTTGTGGCTGATAGAATATCAAGCACAGAAGTATTGAAAACAGTAATTTCTTTATTAATTAATTTTCATTAGAATATGATGAGCATAGGAAATTACTAAAAGAAGTTGTTACGATAGGAGCAGGGTGGTATGGATAAGGTTTTTGAATAAACCATTATGGATCAATCTGGAACAGTAAAGTGATTATCTGATTGGATGACAAAATTAGGTAAGGACACTAGTAAATTTGTCATATACTGTTCCACTATGAATAATTAATGATGATCCAGGTACTCTTCAACTTAATTGAAACTTAATCACTGCAGTGCTTTAAACACTAAAATGTGGTCCTTTCTCTATTAAAATTAGGCTTTTGATGCAGCTCCGTTTGCTGGACTTTTATTTGTTCTTCTAAGGTCATTTGTGATTCCCGTTAAGTATTTATCATCTTTAATAATGACCTCTCACCTTGAGCTGCTTAATTTCAATTGGATGACTTTTGGTCAGTTGCATATAGATTTGATTCCATCCCATTATTCAACCTTTTTCCAGATGCATTCAAAGTATACTACTGTAGTCTATACTTTGTTTTGCTGCATTGGTAACTTTTCAGCACACAGAAATCAGAATAAGTTGACTATGTCAATTGATGTTTGCTCCACTTCTTCAGTTTCTGAAAATTCTGATTCCAATACAAATGTAACTAGGCACTGGTCTTTTACCTTTTACATTAGAACCTTACTGAATGTCTAAATCATGTGGGCCCTCAATTGAAATAATATTTGACTCCTTATAATTCTATAGTGTCTTTAGGTCTATATTCAAACATTTCTATTATCATCTGTACATTTTCTTTCCCTTTGGAAATACAACGAGGGAAACAATATTAAAGAGGGGATATTTTAAGATATTATAAGACTGGTTAATGATAACCACTTGTTTCATAAATTAATCACTTGAGTAGTTTTAAGTATAGCACTATTGTATCAGCACCTTGAGAAGTTGACTGAACTGAAAGTAGTTATCCTAGCAAACAAAGAGGTTCACATATCAGGGTAATGTATTATTATTACAGCATGAACTGGATATATTTTCCCTAAAAGCCACAGTTAAATATGTGACTTACTATTTGTGTATATTTATTAAACAATTCGGAGTCCTAAAATATCTCTCATTGCAAGAGGTTTCTATTTCCTAACCAGAATGTACATGTTTAAGTCAATCTTAGAGCTTCTAATGTTTGTTGGTTGTTTTTAGGTAGGACAATCTACTGTTAGACTTAGAACTCAATTTCTTAGCATATATCTATACATTATTCTGCATTTCTGAAATATAATTGCTTGTGCAGATGTTGAAGTACCAATTGCTTGTGTGATACTGATTTTTTTGTTTGCACTTCAACATTATGGAACACATTGCGTGGGGTTTCTATTTGCTCCTGTTGTGTTGACCTGGCTACTATGCATTAGCTGTATCGGTATGTATAATATCTTACATTGGAATCCTCATGTTTATGAGGCTCTCTCTCCCTACTACATGTTCAAATTTCTGAAGAAGACTCAAAGAGGAGGTTGGATGTCCTTAGGGGGAATTCTACTGTGTATAACAGGTATATATAGTAATTGTACTTCACAACTGCTACATGCTTGACATATGTTTTAACTTCCTCTGACGTTGTCCCTCTTATGTTTCAGGTTCTGAAGCCATGTTTGCTGATCTAGGGCACTTTTCACAGTTGTCGATTAAGGTGCACAATTGGTAGCATCATTTTTAAATTATGAGAGAATGTTTGAAGGGAAATGATGTTTGTCTAATAGAAAATATGTTGGTAGCATCATTTTCAAATTGAAACTAAACTCATGATTTACATTCCTAATTTTGATTTGAAAGCAATGCATCATTGGTCGTGGTAAAATTTGGAATCAATGATTTAAATACATCATTGTTTTTCAATTGTTCATGAATGTGAAGCTTTGGGGGATGTTTCTTGATTAGAAGCTGCAGGGAAATAATCAACTGCATTAACTGAAAACCACTTACTTGCAGATTGCTTTTACTTTTCTGGTATACCCTTCTTTAATTCTGGCATATATGGGACAAGCTGCATATCTTTCCAAGCATCATACTATTGAAAGTGATTACCGAATTGGGTTCTACGTATCTGTACCTGGTAAGATCTGAGTTTCTCACAATGGGGACATTGTTAAAGAATGATTAAGCTTTGACTGTTTGGCTTACTCTTCCTTTTGAAATTGTTTTAGAGAAAATTAGATGGCCTGTTCTTGCAATAGCCATACTTCAAGCTGTGGTTGGAAGTCAAGCTATCATCACAGGTACTTTCTCAATAATCAAACAATGTTCTGCAATGGGATGCTTCCCCAAAGTCAAGATCATTCATACATCATCAAAGGTACACGGCCAGATTTATATCCCAGAGATCAACTGGTGTTTGATGCTACTTTGCCTTGCTATTACTGTTGGTTTTAGAGATACAAAACGCATGGGAAACGCATCAGGTACTCTTTCTCCTGATGCACACGCAAATTTATTTGTTCTGAATGTTTGAAACATCTCTGTCACTTTGATTTTTGTTTCTCTAAACTAATTTTCTTTTCTCTTTACTCCCTTTCCCCTTTTGGTAATTAAATTTTCAATCTTTTACTTACTTCTTGATGGAAAGAATCAGTATGATGTACTTTGCCGTGAAAACAACAGATTAATGCAAAGACCCAATATAGGATTAGTTCGGTCCATTTGCATTTTTCAATAGTTTCTAGATTATATCTTATGGTGTTATTCTGATGTTTGAAAAAAAAAAAGATCAGTACATTAAGATTGTAGAAATCTTGATCATGGTTTTTAATGGCTTATAGCATGTCTAATGAATTTTTATACTGTTTGGATGAACAGGCTTGGCTGTCATAACTGTGATGCTGGTCACCACTTGCTTAATGTCTCTAGTTATTGTTTTATGCTGGCACAAGAGTATTTTCCTAGCCATTTGCTTCATATTCTTCTTTGGGTCCATCGAAGCACTGTACTTCTCTGCATCCCTGATCAAGTTCCTTGAAGGAGCATGGGTGCCCATTGCCCTCTCGCTCACATTTCTTATCGTGATGTATGTGTGGCACTTTGGCACACTTAAAAAGTACGAGTTTGATGTTCAGAATAAGGTGTCCATCAACTGGCTCCTTGGTTTAGGCCCCACTCTAGGAATTGTGCGTGTAAGAGGAATTGGCCTAATACACACTGAACTTGTGTCTGGGATCCCAGCCATTTTCTCTCACTTTGTCACCAATCTCCCAGCTTTTCATCAAGTAGTGATCTTCCTCTGCGTCAAATCTGTCCCAGTGCCACATGTGAGACCTGAAGAAAGGTTCTTGGTTGGTAGAGTTGGCCCAAAAGAATACAGGCTTTATAGGTGCATAGCTCGGTATGGTTATAGGGACTTTCACAAGGATGACATTGAGTTTGAGAAAGATCTTATTTGTAGCATAGCAGAATTCATTCGGTCAGATAGTTCTGAGTCCAACCAAGGATTTGAGAGTTTTGAAGATGACACAAAAATGGCAGTTGTAGGAACCTCAGCATCAAATTCAGAAGGTATAAGGATGTGTGAAGATGATAACAAAAATTCTCAGATGAAAGATTGCATAGAAATGAGGGTGGTTAAGTCTCCTGAAATAGTTAGGAAGAGAGTGAGGTTTGTTGTGCCAGACAGTCCAGAGATTGATTTGGGTGCAAGGGAGGAGTTGCAGGAACTAATGCAAGCAAGGGAAGGAGGAATGGCATTCATAATGGGCCACTCTTATGTGAAAGCAAAGAGAGGTTCAAGTTGGATAAAGAAAGTTGTGATCAATTATGGGTATGATTTCTTAAGAAGAAATTCTAGAGGACCAACTTATGCTCTAAGTATCCCTCATGCTTCTATCCTAGAAGTTGGCATGGTCTACCATGTCTGAGTTTTGGCTACAAGTTATGCAGTTTAGATAAATCATACACAGCATAAATTGGTTGCATTTTTTATAGTGCCCCTCCATGCTACCAATCTTTTCATTTCTCCTCCTGATACATGAATAAATAATATGTTAGGAGGGAATTTTCGCCCATTGTCCAAGTAAATGAACGTCAAGTGACCAATGGATATTTTTGTGGGAGGTATTTTAATTTTTTTCAATAGAAAACTTTGTAACAGAAAGATTAGTTTGGTTGTGGATTGTGTATCTAGCAGGCCTAGAACTTTGTAAAATGTGCTGT